GTGTGTGTGTGTGTGTGTGTGTGTGTGTGTGTGTGTGTGTGTGTGTGTGTGTGTGTGTGTGATTACCCACTGGAACTATTACCTGAAGGATACACCTCATGATGCAGTTGTTGTTATTGTTAGGAGCTGTCGAGTCAATTTCGACTCACAGCGACCCTACATGACAGAGTAGAACTACTGGGGAGGACCTCTCAAAGAGTACCAGACTTGGGATCCAAACCCCACCTAACACTGTCCTGCTGAAGTTCCTCTGTGAAGACGGAACTCGTGGATGTTTGGTAAGAAAAAGGAGATAGATAGATCCCGGGGTAAGAACAAACTCAGTGAACAGTGGGTGGCATTTTTCTTGTAACAGGACGGGAGGAGAAGATGGGCATTTGTCATGGATGGAGGTTTGGAGAAGGCGTTTCTCTCTAGAGGTGTACACTTAGGAGCGGGAAGCAGAGATGGGTCCACAGGATGAGTATGGGTTTCACTTTATTTGGAGACTTTTCCCTTGGCTGTGGATGCAGTCATGTATCATGTACTTTAAAAATGTTCCCTTCCTCTCCTCTAATTCCCTTTAGTTGTCCCAACCCTTCAATAAGGTCTTGATCACCTATATGAGGAAAAATCAATTTTCCATATTAATATGTTACTTTACATTCTTATGTTATTTTAAAAGTGTTCAAGTAAATTAACATGAAATATTACAAGCCAACATTTGACTATTTTATATCCTGCCCTACAAGATGCTACAGAAGCCAAAAGAACAGGCCAGAAAAGGTAAGCATGCTGTGTCCCATAGCCACCCCTGCACTGATGACAGTGTGGACAGAGTGACTTCCTGGGGGAGGGGGATGCAGCTGGGGAGCTCCAGGCCAGGCCTTGGTGGAAGCGAGCAGTGGCCCACAGTGGAGCCAGGAGTGGTGGGAAGAGCAGGTGGCTGAAAGCCTGGCTGATGGTGGAGGACCTGGGGCAAATGAGAGGCAAACCCTTCTCCTAACACACACCAGAGGAGACCTGTTGGCTTGAGGCTGGGGATTTGTAGCGGGAGGAGGAAGCATGTACTCTGGGTTACACAAGTTCACTCCAGGTAGACCAAAAGAAATGATGTTTTAGTCCGGAAGCAAAATTTGAAATTGGGCACATGGAGATTATGTTGAGGAGCCATGGGAACATGTACCTAGTCCACCTGCATTATACATACAGTGCTTCTGCATCCATTCATGGACTTGATAAATTCAGAGATTAACTAAATCATTCAATCATACAGCTTAATCTCTCAATCATGCATACACATTAATAAATAATATTCAGACTCATCATCGATGTATTTTAATATTATGTATTTTATCATATAAAAATATTACGTTACTGTCAGAGCACCATGGCCTATCAAAGTCAGAGGAGCTAGGTTTAAGTTCTTGTCTTCCATGTTTGCAAAGCAAGAGCTGATGCTTCCAGGCCTACCCCTATGTTTTGAGGGTTGAACATGATAATATGTGTGAAAGCACTTTGTAAACACCATCACCTCGAGGTTTCATGCCTTTTGATTAGTAAGATAGGTGACAAATGACACACTCACCTGTGCCCAAATACAGCTATCCACTGCTTTTAGAACCTTCACATTGTTAATGGGGTGGATTTCCACTAACAAAGTTAAACACTTTGATTCTACAAAGAAAAGAAGTCATTCAGTAATGAAGACTGGAATTGTTTCCAAAGCAAGCAGGGAGAGGAATTGCTGGTAAATCCTACCACACTGACTGTAAACTAATAAAACTCTCCTTTCATAAAGAAGTCCCTTGATGTGATTTAAACTGTAGTCCTATTCCCAGTCCCATCCTTCAAGGATGTATGGTGGCCTCAGGACCCCAAGAGAGCTATCAATCTAGCAAAGAATCCACCTTCTATACCCCTCAGGAGGCCTAGAGAAACTGCATTGTATTATGTAACTCACAGGATGCTCAGGAAATCCAAATGTAAACAGGGAGGTCTTTGAGCAGGCCTGGCAGCAACAGTGGACACCAGGGGAGACAAATTTCAGGCTTATAAAATTCTTCAGCTTATAGAAAAGCATCATATTTAAAATAGAAAAGGTTTTAGAAGGAGGTTGTATCATTTTGCACTCTCATCAGCAATGTATGAGAATGTCTGCCCAACTGGATTTTAATGAGTATCATTTTTACCCTAAAGTATTAGGATTCTAAGATTTACAAACAGTGCATGTGTTGCATGTGTAGACTTTATGTAGCTTTTTGGCACTGACCCCTAAGAAGTTAAAGAATTTAAAAGTAAGGAACTTGAAAATGTGATGAGAAATAATATATTTTGCTTCCAAATAGGTTTGACCTTTAAAGTTTGACCTATTGTATTACCTATTCCACAAAGAAAAGTAGTTTTCTATAAAATTTATTTTAACACTTTTTAAACCCAAAATAGACACAGAAAACAGCACAAGAGAGAAGTCAATGTACATGGAATGAGGAACAAATTCCTGCTCTTGTTCCTCTGCCATTTTCAGCAAAGCTTCACAGACCTTCTTGGTTTCTGTATAAACGAACACAACTCACCTGACTCCAATTCTGCAGCACAATGGCAAATACTATTTGTGTATAAGAATGTAAAGATATTTCTGGCACATGAACATGTCATGGTTGACATCACCCAGCAGTAGGACATGCTTTTGGTTTCCCCTCAGGAATGGTGGTGGAGCTGCACTGATAGGGACCCACTTACTATTTCCTCAGTGTCACATCTGAGCAAACGTTTTACAAGATAACAATGTGGAGGAAGTCCATGGTCATGAGCTAGAAGGAGGTTACCATAGATATCCAAATTTAGGTTAAGGGCTCCCCTCCCCCGAGACTAAACCACCCAAAAAGAGCTGCCTTATATTTGAAGTCTTATACTCTAATATTATCAGGTGCTCTCACAATGACTTTATTTTTGAATAATAATACACAATTTGGGAATGGCATAACAGCCTGGAATTAAATCAATGCCAGTTTTCAATACCTAAGGAAGTAATCTGACAGCCTGCTTTATTTAAAAATAAAAAAAGGGGGGCAGGGAAGGGAGAAACAAAGATCATAAAACCATCATGTCTGGAATATGACCTCACAATTGCAAGGACTATCTCTGTAAACAAGCTTTTTTAAAGATTACTTGAAAATGCAAGCCAGTGAGTGGCTATTATGTGGGATCATAAATTACAACTACAGAACAAATGAAAATCAAATGTTTGGTAAATGGGTACTTGTGGCTTAGGATAAAAATCCCAGTGACAGGATCATGCACCAATTCAAAAGGACTATAAATTGCTGGGAAAGAGGAAAAGGTGAGGTGCTTTTGGAATCTGCTTGATAACTCAAAAAATGGCCCTAGGAATAAGAAAGATATTGGTGTCAAAGATATGAGTGAAGATAAAAAGAATAGAAATGTCCTGTGAAATGTGAGAATGAGGGGAAAAAACTTCCATATTAATAGGTTATCTCAAATGTGTGCAATTAAATTAATATATTGAATAGTATAAGCCAACATTTGACTATTTTATATCCTGCCCTAAAATTTTATATATTCTAATTGGAAAAAATGAAAAACAAATTTGGAGGTGGGATAGAAGGAAACTTCTCATTGGGAAAATAAGAAATTACCTTACATGTGGACCTTTTTAGCATGAACTTGTACCCAGATGAGATAACCAGCTATCAGCTAAATTTGCTTATCTTTAAAATGGGAGGATCTTCAAGGGCAGAAACCATTTTTCTACATTAATTTGTCCCTTCTGTAGTACAGCACAGACACTTAACTAATAGTAACTAGCATAATGATAAGAGTGAACATTTGTAAACAGAAATTTCTCTCAATAACTACTCTGTGCTCTCATAGCGTAGTGGGAAACACTCTGGATTGGGACTCTGGAGACATGTTTTAGTTTCAGCTCTTCCATTACCCTAACAGATAATTTTCAGCAAATTGCCCAACTTTTCTAGACCTCAATGCCTTGTTATTAAAAAATAAAATTGAAACTTAAAAATTACAGAATGAGATTATTTCAACAATCACTTTCAGCCTGTATGAAGTGCTAAACTCATATTAAGAATTTAGAGAATGGACCTAAGGACCTGGAACAGTGTCTGACACACAAAGATACTTAATAAATATGCATTTGTGAATTAAAAAAAAAAAAGAATTTAGAGAATGGAGATATCAGTGTAGACTGGTAGGGTATCACTGTAGGTTATGCCTGGGTAGACAGGATATGGATATCACAGGAAGTAGAGATAGTAGGATCAAAAGCACAGGGATAGACAAGACCTGGGGCAGAGACCTGATCTGATGCAGGTGAATGTGCAAGTTATGAAATGGTGACAAGTTTGGAAGAGTCCAGAAGGGCCTGGTTCTGAAGGAGTTCTAGTCATTAGAGCTCTTGAACCAAACCATGGCTCCACGGAGTATCTATAACACTTAGCTGTTTGTGATAGTACTTGGGGGCTCTAGAAAGTCTCAGCAGCAGTGAGGGGCCCAGCACACGTGATCACCCCAATTGCTACCCACCGGGGAACTACTATGCCTTGTGGCAAGTAGGAGGGTGAAGGGGCCAGCCTGGGCCTGACTTCCTATGGAGGGCCATTTTCTAAATAAGACATTAACTTTGCCATGGCTACAGCCTAGAAGAGAAGCACTGTTAATAAAAATGGTTTTACAGTATGTGAACTGAGGAACCCTATCTTGTTTAAATGAAAGATGCTTCAGTTTGTCTCATTTACAATGGCAAAAGCTCATCTTAAGCAACAGAGTGTTAAAACAGTACCGGCAAACCATATTTCATAATCAAATGGCTTATAAGGTCAATGACAAATAGATAAAATAAACCTTTCCAAAATATTTGTTCAAAAGAACACTGTAATCAGTTCCTAGAGTACTTGTTCGTTACGTTGTTTCTGAAATCTTAACAAAACAAAACCCTTCCATGATAGGCAATACCTTCCATACACTGATAACTCTCCTAAACATGTATCACCAGCCTCAATCTCTCACCTGAACTTGTAATTCACATCCAACTACCTACCTGACATCTAACAGGCATCTCAAACTTAGTATGCCCAAAATCAAGCTCTTTTTTCCATGCCTACCATCAACACCTGTGCATGCACGCTCGCACACACACGCACACACACACGCGCGCGCACACACACACGCACACGCACACACACGAGCCTCCTCTGGCAGTCCAAACCATTGGACTATTGCAACAGCCTTCCAGCCAGTCTCCTTGCTTTCCTCCTTGCCCTCCTGCAGTCTATTTTCCACACAGCAGCTACTGCAATCCTTTTGTAAAGTAAGTCAGATCACTCCTCTGCTCAAAATCGCTTCCCATTTTACTCAGAGTGAAGTTTGAAGTCTTTACAATGACTTCCTCGGCTCTACATGATCTGCCTGCATCTCACCCGCTTTTCCTTCTGGCCTCAGTTCCCACCACTCTGCCCCTTGTTCACCCTACTCCAGCCTCACTGACCTCCTCACTGTGCCTTGCACAGCAAATCTACCAAGTACACTCCAGTCTCAGGGCCTTTGTGCTGGCTGTCCACTCTGCCAGAAATGTGTTGTCCCCATAGCCACAAGCTTGCTCCCTCCCTTATTTCAGATCTCTATTTAAATAGGGTCACCCCACAAATAAACCGACTGCATTCAAATCCTTGTCTCAGACTCTACTTATGGGAAAATCTAAACTAAGATGTGATCTTAACCAAAAAACCAAACCCCTTGCCGTCAAGTCGATTCTGACTCATAGTGACCCTACAGGACAGAGTACAACTGCCCCACAGGGTTTTCAAGAAGCAACTGGTAGGTTTGAATCGCCGACCTTTTTGTTAGCAGCCAAACACTTAACCACGTGCCACCAGGGCTCCCGTGTGATCCTAGGGGACAGGATAACTCTAGCCATGAGCAGCTGGCAGGAAGGACTGGGGAAAGTGAAACAGGAAAGAATAGTAAGCTAGCATATGGGGCATTATCAAGCTGGTGACCACCATGAGTCTTGAGCTGCATGGAATGAACCTCAGAATTATTCACTTTAGGGATGAAAATAGGGAGCAACCCCATTAGCCATGGGTTGCCCTATTGAGCATTATTTCCAACCATACTTCCAGGTTGTGTACCTATAGGTGGTAAACAGATTCTCCCAAGAGCCCTGGGAAGAAAGCAAGAAGTTGGTAGAGCAATTGAGGTAACCCATCTGCCAAATTACACCTGGGCAGAGTTGGTTCTCAAAGCAATGGCTGGCTTAAAAGGTGAACTAAGAATATGCAAAGCTATGATGTATCCAAAAGGAGACCTGGTAGTCCAGTGGTTAAGCATTTGGCTGTTAACTGAAAGGCTGGCGGTTAGAACTCACCAGCTGCTCCATGGGAGAAAGATGTGGCAGTCTGCTTCCATAACATTCACAGCCTTGAAACCCCTATGGGGTAGTTCTACTCTTTCCTATAGGGTTGCTATGAGTCAGAATCAACTCGATGGCAATGGGCTTTGGTTTGGTTTATGATGCATCCATCACAATAACTAAGAATGTTCATTCTAATATTTTTAAAGATGTGAGCAGATAATCCCACTACAGGTGCACTGAACTTTAAAGACTGAACAAGCACAGCTGAATGAAAATTTTAAAGTTACAATCAGACAAAACTTACAAAAAAGTTGGTCTAAAGTATATTTTATAATATACTAATCTCTACTGCTCTACATGACAATTAGGCATGGATGATAAACATTATATTGAGATTATAATTAGGAGTCCTGGTGGTGCAATAGTTAAGCGTTCAGCTGCTAACCAAAAGGTTGGCAATTCAAACCCACCAGCTCAAAGGGAAAAAAGAACTGGCCATCTGCTCCCCTAGAGATTTCAGCTCTATGGGGCTGTTCTACACTGTCCTATAGGATTGTTATGAGTCAGAATTGACTGGAGGGCACACAACAACAACTTATCCAACAAATTTAGTCTTTGCCTTTGATTCCTGAGAGGTAACTTCTAAAACCTTGGAATTTCCCCAGTGACTGCAGTCTTTGTTAGTCACAGAGGGACTCTAGACCACACCTACCTAACAGGTTATGACAATAAGGTGACTCTTGGGGGAAGGGGCTGGCCAGAAAAACCCACCATGTGATATCAGCAGGACCTCAAGGGAGGCAGGCTGGAGGGTGAATTCAATCACATGGGTGATGATTAAATCAATCATGACGATATAATGCAACTCCAATATAAAAACTTTGAACACTGAATCTCCATGAGTTTCCTGATTGATGATAGAAATTGACACACAGGGGAGGGTATGGCATTTTTTGTGACATGAAAGCTCAGCTGGAAACTCTTTCAGACCTCACCCTATGTGTCTCTTCATTTGTATCCTTTTTGTTATAATAAAACTGTAATCTTAAGTACAGCCCTTTCTTGAGTTTTGTGAGTCATACTAGTGAATTATCAAACCCAAGGTAGCAGTGGGACGCAGCAGATCAGAAGTGAGGGGGGACCTTGGGGTTTCCCCGAGGTTATGGCTGACATTCTGAAGTCAGCAGGTCAGAAGAGAGGGTGTCACAGGGACCTTCAAACTTGTGGCTGGCATCTGAGGTCTTAGGCAGACTTGGCAGTCTGGAGGACTGTGTCCTTTAACCTGTGAGATCTGACCTAGCTCTGGTGACAAAGGTCAGAGAAAGAAGTGCTACATTTGTAGTTGGTGTCAGAACAGAACTGAATTGATTTTGTTTACCAGTATAATAAAGAATTTCTAAGGCTAAAAGGAGTAAGGCCCAGGAAGAACTGGGAGGCACAGGGAGCTGTTCCAAGGTTGTGTATAGATGCCCAGCCTCACAATCAAAAGGAATAAAAGCAACTAGACCTTTCCCTCCTTGGAAAAGGGATTTATTAGTCCAGGAGATACCCCTCTAACTGACCATACCCTTGTTTGGCCCACATTCTTGCTTTAGGGGTCAGGACAACAATGTCTTAGATCATATTTCACTAAAGCTAGTCCAGTCCCATCATCTCTAAAGTGAGAATTGCACCTAATTCAAAGAGAAGCAGAGAGTGCTAAAGGGCCTAATAAGAGAATAACACGGCCAGAAGAGGGAAGGATGCTGCTGTGGGTCTCAGTGTAACATGGTGGGAGGGTGGATTAGGGTTGGTAATACAAAGGATGAGATTTCAGGAAAAACCTCCTGCCCACTAGCATCTTCCATAAACTCTTCTAATGAGGCCCCTGAGAAGGTCCCATTCAGACTCCACTCTGGTTTCCCTGCCACTCTAAGCTGGCTCTGTGGAAAAGCATGTGTCACGAGAAGTCCAAGACTGCCTCGTAAGCCTCATGTGGAAAGTATGTACAAAGAGTTTTCCATCACATGAAACCACAGGAGAGAACATCTGAGCATGCTATACTAACAAAAGAAGTAAATTAAGTGCCAAATAAATAGAAAAGATAGAAAGTGCTGCAGGATCAGAAAAGTAAGAGATGGATGTGAGATCTAATAATAAGAGATCTACTAGACCAGAGGTTGAAAAATGGTAGTCCATAGGCTGTTTCCAGTCCATAAGTGGTTATCTTTGCTTGAGAATGATTTTTAAAAAATATTTGAGTCAACTATTTAAAAATTAGATTTTTACATAAAAGTCCAGACTTGTCTTGATAAATTGAAAAAGCTGGCCCCACTAAGCTTACATCTCCACATGGCAACAAAAAGTTAGAGCTGAGTAGTTACCCTGCTTTGAAGATGTGGTACATGTACCACCCCACCAATAGTCTCTATAGCTCTGAACTCTTTTTTTGCATTAATAATAACAGGTATTTCTTGGCTTCTACATTAAAATTGAGAAAAACAAAGAAAAATCCATGGTCACCTGATTTTTCTTACACTCAGTCAGCTTCACTTATTTACATGATCTTTCTGGCCCTTGTATATATTTGCGATTGCAACTCATGTCTAGACTCTGAGCTCCAGGAGGACAGTCACTATACCTGTTTTGCATACCAGTGTAACCCCAGCACGATGCACAGTGCCTGACCCACACTCAATACATGTCGAGTTATGAACAGATAACTCAAATAACAAATGCTTGTTGAGTTAAGGACAGATAACCTCCCCCTAAAAAAAAGCCTTCACATAGATAATAAATTATGAAGTGGGCCTTGGCAAATGAGTAGAACTGATTTTTATTTAGTATTGGTGGGCTAAGAAGCCCTGATGGTACAATGTATAACCATGGTTTTATATATATAAATAACCATATATATTTACGTGCAATGGACTTCTAACTGAAAGGTTGGCGGTTCAAACCCAACAGCTGCCCTCGTAAATATTACAGCCTTGGAAACCCTATGCGGCAGTTCTATTTTGTCGTATAGGGTCGCTATGAGTCAGAATCAACTCAGAGGCAACGGGTTTGGTTTGGTTTTTTTTAGACTGGTGGACTATTCACAACGCATTAGGTATTAGTCAATACTTAAACCACATATAAGAAAAAAGTTATATGGTATATTATTTTCTGTAATTTCCTGTTTACTTAAAAAAAATTAAAAATTAAAAAGAAAAAAAGCTTGCTCATGCTTGACATGATCCCTGCCTTTTCATTTGAAGATAAGGTTATTTCTAAAGATGAGTGAAATTTGACTTAATAGTCAAAAAAATCTTTATCTGCTAATAGGCACTAAATAGTATAATTTCATTACCTGGTTGATGCTCATTCCTTCTTCCTTCTTTAGTAGCTTGAACTAAACTTACAGCTAATGGAAAAGGAAAAAAACATCCATCAGCAACTGATCTATTTGGTGGCTCATTAAAGCTTACCATTTCATACCTGAAATAAGTAAAGGCGCAAAGGATCTGTCAGTGAATGATTACAGCAGAATACAAAGCATCCTTCATTGCAGGTATATCCTACAGATCCTTTATTTCAAACCTAATTCCCTAAGAACACCTCCTTCCCAGAAAACCATTGTTACAGAATAATCTAATGTTGTAAAAATCCAGTATTTTGAAACCCTTAAAAGATGTAGTTTAGTTCTAGACATGAAGCAACAGAAGAAAGTGTTCAACTTACCAAGCAAAGTTCTCTCACTGTTGACAGAGCAACTGACAACTTGAAAGTCTGTCTCAAAGGTATAGAGATGCTATTTAAAAGGGGGGAAAAAAGATTTCTTAAACGCACAGCTTCACATTAAATAACAATTGTATGACTATAAACTCCCATTTAGTTCTCTACCAAAGATTATTGTGGCAAAACATTTTATTAAAGAACCATCAATGAATTAGTTTATCCACACTGAGAAGCTCCAGATTATTTTTTAAGAAAAAAGTTTGTTAATGTAGGTCGTGTTTTGCATTGAAATTTAGCCATGAGGCAACAGAGCATAGTGGATAAGAGTACAGATCTTGGAGCCAAACTAGATCCAGGTTCAAATCCTGATTCTGTCACTTGCTAGCTGCGTGATCTTGGACAAATTATTCAACCTCTCTATCCTCCCATAAGTAAAATAGGAATGGTAATGCCTGTCTCATGCAGTTGTTAGGTAGATCAAGTGAAATAACCCATCTGAGGCACTTAGTACATTATCTGCTGCATGTAATCATCACTCAAATGGCAGCTATTATAATTAGTGAGGCAGGTAAAGTTTTAATCAAATTATACAACTGACTATGATATCGTTAGTTATGTCTTAGAGACTGTCACAAGTGCATCTCCTGTAGGACTCATATTTAGAGGACTGGCAAAAGTAGTCTTTTACCTTTATTTAATCTTTCTTTTTCTATTTTTTAAATTTTCTTGTTGCTGTTTGAAACAAAATGTTACAAGATTCCATTTCATTGAGTATTAAAACACAAAAATGGTCATTCGGAAGGAGGATGTGATGTGCAGACTGAGGAACTGGAGACAATCACGGTTATATTAGGCAAACTCTCTCTTACAGTAGAACACTCAGAGGACAAAACAGAGATAAAAAGTTTTAGGACTCAGGAGATAGGCTATAAGAAACAGTGAACAGCAGAAGTACTAAGACTAAACAAGCACTGAAACCACACTAAAACTCCATGGTCAGAGGTGGTGAAAAAGGTTGTGAAAGTCAAGAAAGTGACCTTTGAGTTAACAGGAAGGTTCTGAATTTGTGTGAGAAGTTTTGGTTTCCTCTGACACTTTCTCTAACTGAGGGATTCCAATTTATAAGCAAGAAGAATCATAGATGTATAAGCATAATTTTTAATGTAGTAACCTCTTAGTTATAAAATAACATATAAGCACAGTCTCAGTGTTTAAAAGATGCAAACACTACCAAAATAAAAAGTCAGTCTTGCATTATGCTCACCCAACCCCAACTCCCTTCCTGAAGGAAACACGTTTATAATTTGCTCTGTAGCCTCCCAGATCTTTTAAGTTTTCAATATATATTTATGTGCATATATTGCACAGTTTTCTTGCAAGTTTTTTTTTTTTTTTTTACATAAATGGAGTGTATTTTTCTAGTAACTTGCTTTTTTCTTGTAACAATGTTTTGGAGTGCCTCCTGTGCCAGTACACATTTATACATGTCTTAATCCTTTAATCTTTTAATGGCGGTATGGATTTCCAAAGAACTCACTGATAGGCATTTAGACTGCTTCCTACTTTTAAGTATGACAATGATCCAATGAACTTTCCTTTATATACATCTTTGTGAACTTGTACACGTATTTCTGTAGACTCAAAACTTCAAAGTAAAAAAAAAAAACTTCAAAGTGCAATTTCTGGGTCAAAAGATATTCAAGTATCAGAATTTTTCAGCTGTAAGCAACAAAAAATCTGCCCCAAACTAGTTTATGTAAAAAGGCAATCAGTGGCTCATAGAATTTAATAGTACAGAGTATGTGGCTTCAGAATTGGCTTGATCCATGGCTGGAAAGCCCTATCTCTTGGCTTTCTGGGTTAAATCCATTTTCAGACTCCATACAGTAGCCACCCAGGCAGCCCCAAGTTCTATTCTCCAAAGCCACAGCAATTCCAGACCTCACTTCACGTATCACCAAAACCAGTGAAAAAGAGAAGAGCTGAAGTCCCAAATTCCCAGCAAAGTCCACTATTCATTTGTATTCAACCAGCTTTGGTCATACCCACTCTCGTATGCGCTAACAAAGAAGGCCTGCATAAAGCAGAGTGGAAGGAGTGGAAAGACAGTGTGAGGGAGGAAAGGTATTGGGAACTTGTCTAGTTATGAATAAATAATACTTCGTTTCCCATTTGGTTACTATAATGAGAGCTTATTCAGTCAAAACTTAAGGAAGAAAAACCAAGGTACAGTAGACCCACTTCTCCCTATTCCTCTCACTAAGTACAGCTAAAAATCCTTGGGCATTAGATTAAAAAAAAAAAACCTAAGCCGACTCTGAAACGTGGAGAGAAGGCAAACCAGCTAAAGACCTCATGTCCTGAGGAACGACACAGTGGTGAGTTCCAAGTTCTCCTTTTGCTTCATATATCTCAGAATGGGAGCTGAAGAAACAAATAACCTGGAAATGGCAACAGGAACACACACACACACAAAAAAAAAAGCCCCAACGAAAACCTACTCTCTCTAGCCAAAGGACCAGGAAAAGGGAAACCTGGAAAGACAAATAAGTTGTAGGCAATAACCACCCTACTCCAGCCAAACACCACAGAAAAAATGCAGCCCTACTCCCAGCCCCATCAACAAAGCTCTTGGGAGCACACAAATCTTGGAGAGGCCATTGGCCCTCCTACATTCCTACAGAATACTGGATAATTGCTTTGATCTTATTTTATTTAAATTTCAAAGAACTAAGAGACCTCAGCAGATGTCTTAGTTAAATGTGAATTTCTTTTGGGTCCAGGAGTACTTGCATTTTAAAAATTTTTTTAAGATGGTGATGTCAAGAGATGGTAAAAGGGAGAACAGAAAGCAGGCAAAGAAATATAAACTAAATTTTTAGAAGATAAAATGGGGATTTATATCTGGGAAAAGGAAGGGCAGAAAGAAAGAAAGATCTAAAAGCAGTAAAGTAGCCAATGAATAATCTACGGTTTATGGTGATTTATTTCTTTTACCTCATTTTGTCGGGTTTGGCGATCATATAATCCAAAGAAAACATTTCCCTTATCATCCTGAAAGAAAAATTTAATCAAATGTTTATTAAATATCATTGTTTAGGAAGTTAGGATGTTATTAGTTAAAAACAAAACAAAAATCTGCAATAATTCAACCAATCTTCGCAATAAGCACTCTAAAAGTAGCCGTCCATGTCAGAAAGGAACTGAACCTATTTTAGCTATTCATGTGGACTCAAAAATTGAAATGAATGTACAGGATCCTGGCCATGTTTTAAAACCCTGTATAGTAGGACTTAGCATGGTGAAGGAGTCAATCTTTTTGTATCTCCATTTTCACCTTTAAGAAAATACACACACACACACACACACACACAAAAGAAGAACACTAAAAAAAAAAGAAAAGAAAAGAAAATATACACATAGCCCAAGAGACAGAAAGGGGCACATAAATCAGAGATTTCATCAGCTTGAGACCAGAAAAACTAGATGGTGCCTGGCTACCACCAATGATCACCCCGACAGGGAACACAACAGAGAGTCCCGGATGGAGCAGGAGAAAGGTGGGTGCAGAACTCAAATTCTAGTAAGAAGACCAGACTTAATAGTCTGACTGAGACTGGAGGAACCCTGGAAAGCATGGCCCCTGAATTCTCTATTAGCCCAGAACTAAAACAATTTCTGAGGGCAACTCTTCACACAGGGACTGGACTGGACTGTGGGACATAAAGTGATACTTGTGAGGATTATGCCTCTTAGCTCAAGTAGATACAAGAGACAAAACAGGCAGCTTCCGTCCGGAGGTGAGATGAGAAGGCAGAGAGGGTTAGGAGCTGGTTGAATGGACATCGTGAATCAGGGTGGAAAGGACGAGTGTGCTGGCACAGTATGGGAAGAGCAATTAAGGTCACATAACAATGTATGTACAAATTTTTGTATGGGAAAAAATAACAAAGAAAAGATACACAGCAGATACTGGGAATGGTTAAAATAAGTCCATAATATTCTTATATGTAAAACTTTTGAATCCAACAATTCCTTAAATGCATCATCCTTAGATACAATTTAAAATAATAGGTTTTTTTAACCAAAAAAAGTACAGTGATACAACTTTGCAGCAAACTGAACATTGAACTTATTCTTTCATGTTTCCCTAATACAGAAAAGTTATCATAAAAGTTAGAATTTTTTTCCTTCGAACACTTAACTTTGAAAACACATTGTTAAATAATAATGCCTCAAAAGTCCCAGCATACCTTTAGTCTGTCTGAATGAATAACTTAATCGTATTTTTTTCAAAGCTAAAAATTTAACTTATTAATTTGGTTTAAAAATCTTTTACATAGCATTTTTCCTCTAG